TATAGGGGTTCATTATGTAAGCATTATGGATATGAGGTTATCTGTTTTAAGCTTTATCACTGTATTTCATAATCATGGTTCTAAGTGACGGCAGATAAGAACCACTGGACCCATCTAGTCTGCCCAATTTTCTTAAATGCTTTCATTTGCCCCTGGCCTTATCTTGTAGTTGGGAGGGCCTTATGCCTATCCCACACATGCTTGTACTCCTTTATGGTGTTAACCTCTACCACTTCAGCGGGAAGGCTATTCCATACTTCCACTACCCCGGGACAGAATTGGCTCATTAGTGTCTACAGTAAAGGTGATCTACCAGAACAATTCTTACGTCATATAAGTAAAGTAATTGGTAGGTGACCATAGTATACGCAAAAAATACGGTCGTGGAGGATTTTCAGCAGCAGCATCTCAGTACGAACTCATAAGTACCCGATGCCTTCCATTCTGTCATCCATAACTTGGTTTACGCCTCCCCCTTAGCAGAATCTCAGACTACTGCAGAACAACGAGCATACATTGTTCCAACCCAGCCACTTAGCAAATAGTAGGGACTTACCTGTCACCAGTCTAACTAATTGTTTCGCCACTTTGGCACTAGTTAAAAAACAACTGTATACACACTCAAGAGCAACTTATGATTTCTACTTATATATTTCGGTATGTCCCTAGTTTCAGAAGAAGGAGATGTCATTTCGGGTACAAGTACTCCAACTAGGACTGCCACCTTTACACATAAAAGGGTCACAGGTAGTTCATCTTCAATTACAACGTGGTCCATCCCACGGATCACGGCTGAATTACGCAGGGCAGCATACCCTTTCCAGCTACTGCCCGCAAAACAGAACCATTTAGGCTAATGCAGCCATACTAACAATTTAGATGTAGGGGTAGGCACAAGCAATGCCAACCTGCATACCATGATCACCCCTGTAGTAACATCCATGGGGCAGGTCAACAAATAGGCTGGAAAGACTGGAAGCCCGTAGCAGTCCATCGTGACACCAGAACCACTCGCAACCGATATTCTGGGCCCTTCCCAGTCCCAACCCAGTAATACTAATACGCCCATCATCTTAGGGTCTCAAGTCGTTACCCCAACCCCATATGATGCCGGCAATCCTCAAGAAGGACATCCTGGAGGGCAAGGACGTTAATCTCGTCTCACTTCTCATTGCATTCCAGGAAATTTCCCTGAACATAGATTCGAGGGATTCCCTGCTCTCGTGCGTTTGTCTATGTTCGGGGGAAGTTTACCCGAACATAGACAAATGCACCAGAGCAGAGAATCCCTTAACTCCTCACTTACCGACATTGTAAGTGTACTTTGATATATATCTCAAAATATACTTATGATGCAGTGGCGTACTAAGGGGGGGCGGTCTGCCCCGGGTGCCACCAGGGTGGGGCGTGCCATGACCAGCCCCGCCGCCCCCCCCCTATGCTGCAGCCGCCCGAGCGCTCTGTAAAGAGCCTTAGGCGGCTGCAGCTTTGCCCGGGCGGTGCGTCCATGAGGGTGGACAGCACCGCCTGGGCGCAACCTGAGAAAGGGGGCTGACAGGAGGGAAGCGCTCAGCGCTCCCTCCTGTCAGCTTCCTTTGCTGTAGCGTGGCCGAGCCCTGCAGCATTGATGGTCCGACGGGTACAGAGAGCAGTTGTCTCCTGTACCCAGCCGGACTAACAGGAAGTGCACACTCAGTGTGCACTTCCTGTTAGTCCGGCCGGGTACAGGAACCAGATGCTCCCTGTACCCGCGGACTATACAGGGCTCGGCCACGCTACAGGGAGGTAGGGAGGGGAGTGGGAGGGAGGGGGACAAAGAGTGACAAGGAGTGGAGGGGGGGGAAGAGGAGAAGGGGGGAGGGACAGAGGGGGACAAAGAGTGGGGAGGGAGGGAGGAGGGACAAAGAGTGACAAGTGAGGGAGGGAGGGGACAAGAGTGGGGAGGGAGGAGGACAAAGAGTGACAAGGGAGGGAGGGAGGGGGACAAAGAGTGACAAGGGAGGGAGGACGGGGACAAAAAGTGGCGAGGAGGGAGGGGACAAAGAGTGACGAGGGAGGGAGGGGGACAAAGAGTGACAAGGGAGGGAGGGAGGGAGGGGAAGAAAGAGAAAACGGGAGGGGGGGGGAGAAAGAGAAAATGGGAGGAGAGATTGACATTCATCACATACACACAATGCATTACACACACAGACACACATACACAAGCAATGCAACCGTTACACACAATGCATCCCTTACACACACAGAAACACACAATGCATTCATTACACACACTCAATGCACCCCTTACACACATTCAATGCATCCCATACATACACAGAAACACACCTTACAGCCCTTACACATACAAACACAATTTCACACAATGCATTCCTTACACATATCAGGACATCCCTTACACCCTCCACCCCCTGTGAACAAACTCATTGGTGGAACATGAAGGTGGACCCTGGGACCCAGACCTTGAGCTGTGTAAAGGACCCCCAAAAAATGGAGCTGCTTCCCGCTCTCCCAGAACATTGATTTTTGTGACCACAGTTACAAACTGCCTCCAGAGAGCCTGTTCTGCACCAGACCAGTGGAGCCAGACTGCAGCTAGAGCCCATCATCATCCTCATCTGGTTGTAAGTAGGCAATCTAGTATAATATTCGTGGCACTAAGCTCTAATTTACCTCACCTTAAAGAAACACTATAGTCCCCAGAACCACTTCAGCTTAATGTAATGGCTCTGGTGTCTATAGCCTGTCCCTGCAGGCCTTTTAATGTAAACACGGCGCACTGCAGCACTGGCGTTAGTTAACATGGCAAATCATATGGGTGGGGCATTGTGATGTCACATGGGGGGGCGGCAAACTTTACTTTTGCCTAGGGCGGCAAAAATCCTTGCACCGGCCCTGGCTGGAGGGGGTTGTGTGAGCTGTGGCCGCACAGTGTCCCATGGTAGTTAGGGTGCCGTGCGGCCAGTACAGCTCACACAAGCAAACAGCTGATAAACTGGCCGCACGGAGGAAATGTGTATGTGTGACCGTCTGCCTGTGACTGAATGTGACTGTCTGCCTGTAACTGAGTGTGTGACTGTCTGCCTGTAAATGTGTGTGTGGGGCTGCAGGGATTTTGTAGAAGGGGGCGGGGGTTTTGTATTGGGACAGGAGTCTTTATAAGTGGGATAAGCAGGGGATTTGTGGAAGGGGGTTGCGGGGTTTTTGTAGACGGGGCAGTACAGGATTTGTAGTAGCGTTCGACAGAGGTTTTGTAGGAGGGGCGTAAGGGTTTGTAGGAGGGGCTGACAGCTGTTTTGGTAAAGCTTTTCTGATAAATTGTAAAAAAAAGAAAGAAAACCCTTAACATTTTTTAATTTTTTTTTGGGAGGTGCCAAGCACAAGATCCACCCCGGGTGCCAAATGCTCTAGGTACGCCCCTGTTATGATGAAATCATAGATGCATTATATATGTATAATATATTATAAAATTATTTAATTATAATATATATATTCGTCTTCAGCGTGTACTGGACAGGTAGGACTCAGCTGGAGCTCAGTGCAATAAGACACATGGAGCGAATGTCCCATGAGTAGGATTGTCACCTGGCCAGTATTTCACACAGAAGCGTAAATAGGAACCACAGGGTCCCGGTGCAAAAATTGCCCTGGGGCCCCTCCATGTGTCTCATTCTCACTCCAGCATCTCCATGTGTCTAATTCTTCCCCCTTAGCTCCTCCATGTGTCTCATTCCCCCAGTTTCTCCATGTGAAACACATAGAGTGGGTGAGAGAGACACTTGAAGGAGCAGGGGGGAATGAGACACATACAAGAACTGGGGAATGAAATAGGTGGTGGGTCTTGAGGATGACATGTGAAGGAGTTAAGGGGGTGGGGGAGAATTAGACGCGTGGAGAGGATGGGAGGTGTAATGAGACACATGGGGAGACCAGGGCAATTTTTGCACTAGGCCCAGTGGTTTCCCACAGGTACACCCCAGAGTACAAATATGTGTGTTTTATTGCAGTAAAACCTAACAGATTACCAGTTAAAATGCCACGCAGAACTTGGAAAGTAACATTTTGTAATTTCTCACAATTGTTTTTACATTTTATTCATAGCAAGTTATGTTTCATACATAAATATTTAATGTGAAATGAAAGCCCTAGTTCTCCTGAACAAAATGATATATAATAATAATTGTGGGTGCACTTAATATGAAAGAGGTAACTTATAGGGGCGGAGCCTGACTTCCGAGCAGAGCAGGCACGGGCAGCACAAGCTCCGGTTTAATATGTGGATTCTGTGATAATATCTGCGGCTCACGAGCCAAAACGCTTACCGGGGTGCACTACCCACATCAGGGGTGCACCGCCGATTCGACTGATACCCCACACGAGTCAGTTGGACTCCTACCCCCCCTTTGGACCAGTGGGGGTTTTCTCGGTCCCCACTGGGTGCCCATCGTGGCCCAGCCAAGCAGGGAAACGAAAACCCGAAAGAAGAACGCGGGTCAGACTCTGCGATGGGACTGAAAAACCTCGGTACAAAACTGTTCTTTAACACTTTGATCAATGCACCCTTCAAATATAAATAGCTTATGACGTGAAAAATGCAAACTGCATTAAAAACAAAAACCGACTGTATACATTCTTAGCAATCTGTCTGCATGGGTCTACAGCGATTTACTTTGCAGCGTAATTTGTAATCCCACCATACTGGGTTGACTGCAAAATCTGAGCGATTACACTAAAATACTTAAATTTAGGTTTTTCCCCCCCTTTTTTTTTTTACCTGCTTAAAAATGACATCATGATAAAACAGAAGTTGTGTAATTTAAAACAAAATGTCATACAACTATGAATATGGACATGAAATTATTAAAGTGTGTTTGCTAAACTGGTATCAACAAGGAATAAGTCATGAGTTAAAAGGTTTTTTAATTTTATTTTTATTTTAAGTTTGAGAACACTTGAAGAATAATAACCTAAGCACAGTGGAATACTTAGATTTGATACACGTCTGCTACAGATATACTGTTTATGATGAAGGACTATGGCGTGCATTCTCATACTATAGCTTGCAAGCATTCGGCATGCACTATCAGCAGTGACCAGCACATAGTGCCATATCAGAACAATTATAATTCCTATTATCCTCAGCCAGTAATGGAGATGCAATACGATTAAATCCAGAAATGTGGTTTATGAGTAACATGCAGTAAGATTACCATGTGCACACTATATACCTGGCATCACAGATATCAGGCGGCCAAGCTCCCATTCGTGTTTGTTTAAAGGACCACTATAGTGCCAGGAAAACATACTCGTTTTCCTGGCACTATAGTGCCCTGAGGGTGCCCCCACCCTCAGGGTTCCACTCAAGCCAGGCTGGATGGCGAGGAAAGGGTTAAATCTTACCTTTTTTCCAGCGCCGGGCGGGGAGCTCTCCTCCTCCTCTTCGGCTGAATGTGCATGCCGGCAGGAGCTGCGCGCCCATTCAGCCTGTCTCATAGGAAAGCATTCATAATGCTTTCCTATGGACGCTTGCGTCTTCTCACTGTGATTTTCACAGTGAGAAGCATGCAAACGCCTCTAGCGGCTGTCAGTGAGACAGCCACTAGAGGCTTTAGAGGCTGGATTAACCCTATTATAAACATAGCAGTTTCTCTGAAACTGCAATGTTTATAAAAAAAAAAAAAGGTTAATCCTAGTGGGACCTGGCACCCAGACCACTTCATTAAGCTGAAGTGGTCTGGGTGACTAGAGTGGTCCTTTAATATACACCCTGTTCCAAATTATTATGCAAATTCTATTTAAGTGTCACAAAGATTAAATATTTTGTTTTTCAGTTTAACTCATGGATGGCATTGTCTCAGGGCTCTTTTGATCACTGAAAACAATCTCGGACACCTGTGATAATTAGATAGCCAGGTGAGCCCAATTTAAGGAAAAACTACTAAGAAAAAGGATCTCTCTGCTGCCGAAAAGAGTGAAGTAGTTCAATGCCTTGGACGAGGTATGAAAACATTAGATATTTCACAAAAACGTAAGCGTGATCATCGCACTATTAAGTCAGTTTCTTCAAGGCTCACACCAGGGCTAAACATTCTTTCTCCACTGCCGCGTAGCTCACCTCTCTGGGTAACAGCTTCCTACTGAGGTACGCGATCGGGTGTTATGCTCCATCTTCTCCCACTTGGCTTAAACATAGAAGCCCGAACATAGAAGTGTCTGTGTGGACAACAAAGCGTTTGTTAGGGGCTGGAGTAGCCAATACAGGTGCATGGATTAGTGCTGTCTTTAGGGCTTGGAATGCAGTTTCACAGGCGGGAGACCAAAGGACCTGCCTAGGCAACTTCTTCTTAGTCTGGTCAATCAGGGGCTTAGCAATAGCACTGTAGTCAGGTACAAAATGTCTATAATACCCTGCTGTCCCCAAGAAGGCCAGTACTTGTGTCTTGGTGCGGGGTGTGGGCCACTTAGCGACTTCCTCAATCTTAGCAGGTTCAGGTCGCTCGCACCCCACCCGGTGCCCCAGGTACTGGACTTCGGCCATCCCAAGATGACATTTGTCTGGCTTCAGAGTCAGGCCGGCTGCCTGAATCTGATTCCAGCACTGCCCCTACATGAATTAAGTGTTCCTCCTAGGACTCACTGTAGATCGCAATGTCATCCAGGTACGCACAGGCGAAATCCTGGAAGCCATCGAGGAGTCTATCCACCAAGCGTTGAAAGGTAGCTGGGGCATTTTTTTTATCCCCCATGACCTTAAATTGGTAGAGGCCAAACGGGGTGACAAAGCCAACTTGGGGATAGCATCCTTGACCAGGGGAATCTGCCTGTAACCTTTGCAGAGATCTATGGTGGTCAGATATTTTCCCCTGGCGATACGATCTAATAATTCATCTACCCTGGGCATCGGATAGGCGTCTGTCACAGTCCGGTTGTTCAGTCTCCGGTAGTCCACGCAGAACCGGGTGGTTCCATCTTTCTTGGGTACGAGGACTATCGGGGAGGCCCACGGACTGTCCAAGGGTTCTACAACCCCTAGTTTTCTTTCCGCATTCCCTCTCTAACAGCCTCTGGAAAATGGTAAAGGGGTTGTCTGAGGGGTGCCTGTCCAGGGGTTTCTACCCTATGCCTGGCAAACTTAGTGAACCCAGGTTCCTGGGAGAAGGTCTGCCTCTTGTCTTCCAGTAGTTGGCGGACCTGAACTCTTTGTCCTGTCGATAACCGGTCCTCTAGCTTTACCTGACTAAGGAGGTCAGTTTGGGAGTCCCTTTCTAACAGGTCAGGCAAGGGACGGTTGTCAGTGTCGTCGTTGGCTGGGGCACATATGGCCGCTACATCTTCCTGCCTTTCAACATGTTATCGTGAAATGACCTATGAATCTCCTCGTTGGCACATCTGGCAATTATGTAAGTGGTGTCACATAATTGTTCCACCACCTTATAAGGGCCCTGCCATACTGCTTGTAACTTATCTTGTCTAGTGGGTTTCAAAACTAGGACCTTTTGGCCCACCTGGAATGTACATTGGCTGGCGCCCCGTACCAAATTTTGTCACCCCTGGGCCGCCTGGAGGTTTGCCTTTGCCATCTGGGCCAACTGTTCCATGCAGACCCGAAGTTCCAGTACATATGGCACGATGGGAGTTTCCTCATGTTCCATTCCCCTCTCCCAGTGTTCCTGAATGAGATCTAGGGGGCCTCGCACCCTTCTCCCATACAGCAACTCAAAGGGGGAGAACCAAGTGGATTCCTGTTGCACCTCTCGGTAAGCGAACAAGAGGTGCGCCAGGAATCTTTCCCAGTCTCTGTATTCATCAGTAGAGGTCCTCAGCATTAGCTTCAGGGTGCTGTTAAAACGCTCACAGAGACCGTTAGTCTGGGGGTGAGCGGGGGCTTAATAATACAGACTTTACATAACTGCTGGGTTAGGTCGGCAGTAAACTGGGTCCCATGGTCAGAGAGAATTTCTCTTGGGAACCATACCCGAGAGAAAATGCCAACCAGGGCGCTAGCTACTGTGTCGGCCTGAATATTTGAAAGGGCAACAGCCTCGGGATAGTGAGTGGCATAGTCCACCACGGTAAGAATATACTTTTTACCGGATGGGCTGAGATTCGGTAGGGGACCTGCTAGGTTCACTGCTACTCGGCTGAACAGCTCGTCGATGATGGGCATGGAGGATAGGTGAGCTTTAGGGTGGTCTCCTCTTTTTTCTACTTGATGCCAGAAAACAGGGAAGTCAAAAACAATGCCAAAGTCAAATAACCAGAATTACCAGAATCAATAACGTGCTTTTAGACAACCACAAGGGAAACCACAACACGGCACTGAGCAGGATGAGAACTGGGCCTAAATACCCCTCCTCTAGATCTGATAGGCTGTAATTGGCCTTTGACCCCAAAGGCATTTGATTTGATTAAGCTAGTTACTTGCTGTTGATTGCTGGTTAATTAGCTATTGTTTGCAAATAAACAGAGGCCTACCCAGGTGTTAAACATTCCTAGTGGGCGGTGATTTTAGGAGTTATATAAGGCCTGGTTCCATTAGCTTGTCTAATATAGCTTGGTGCTACTTCCAAGTGCTGTTTCTAAGTGTGTAGTTGGAGATATTCTGGAGAGTGCTGTTTCTAAGTGTGTAGTTGGAGATATTCTGGAGAGTGCTGTTTCTAAGTGTGTAGTTGGAGATATTCTGGAGATAACCTGGAGGTAATCTGAGGTATTCAGGAGGATAAAGAAAAAAGTTAAGATTTGTTAGATTTAAATTATTCTCATAATTGGAATGGCAGGCTTAGTTCAGTGTAACAATTGCTATGCATTTGTTTCACGTTCCACTTTTTGGAGGTTTGGTTGTTGTCTAATCTGTAGACAGTTCTCTATCTTGCGGCAGGAGATTGTATTTTTGAAGTCTGAGATTTGTAAATTATCTGGTGAAGAAACTCAGACTGGAACTGCTGCAAAGCCACTGCCGCAGAGACATGCTAGGAAAGGCAGATGGATTACTGTAGGATCTGGTAGACTTAGAGTTGTGGATAAAAGGCATTTTGCACAGTCTGTTGCTCTTCATAATTCATTTTCTGCACTTTCAGAGTGTAATGGTGTTGTGGAGAGAGGCACTGAGGCTAGTGGTGTTGTGGAGAGAGGCACTGAGGCTAGTGGTGTTGTGGAGAGAGGCACTGAGGCTAGTGGTGTTGTGCACTGGAGAGAGGCACTGAGGCTAGTGGTGTTGTGGAGAGAGGCACTGAGACTAGTGGTGTTGTGGAGACCGGCTTGGAGACTATGGTGAGGCCTAATAGAAAGCAGTTGTTGTTGGGTGATTCCATTATAAGAGGTGTGGAGATGGACAATGGTGGTCTTGTGAGGTGTCTTCCCGGAGCTACTGCTCACAGAGACAGGAGACGTATCTGTAATATTGTTAAGCAAGCAAAGCAGGAAGGGGAATTGGATGTACTTGTCCATCTAGGGACAAATGACTTGGCTTGCAATGAGGTTTCAGAGGTTAAGGAAGTTTTTAGTGTTTTTGCCAATGATATACGGCAGGTTGCTTCCACACTGTCATTCTCTGAAGTTCTGCCTGTGCATAACACTCAGAACGACAGGCGGATGCGTATTAGGGACTTTAATTTGTGGCTTGGTGAATGGTGTCGGGAGCAAGGATTTGGCTTTATTTCTCATGGTAGCTCTGTTTGGAATGGAGATAAGCTGTACAAAAAAGATGGTTTGCATCTTTCTCAAAAGGGAACAAATGTTCTCAGTGAGCAGTTCAGAGGTTTTGCTAGGATGTATTTAAACTAGGAGGGGGGGGCAAAAGGGTGATAAAACATCAATCCAATTGTCCCCCAAAACAAGGACAGAAGGTGCCTGTAGCAAGTGTGTTAAAAATGATAAGCTTAGAGTCATGTCTACAAATGCTCGCAGTTTAGGGAATAAGATCCATGAACTTGTGGCAATAATGGCAACTGATAGTGTAGATTTAGTCGCTGTTACTGAGACATGGTACAATGAGAAAAATGACTGGGACATAGCAATACCAGGGTACTCTTTATATAGGAAAGATAGGGAAGACAAGAAAGGGGGAGGGGTGGCCTTGTATGTGAAGGATAGCATAAAATCTAGCCTAATAAAAGTTAGTGAGGCAAACATAGAGTCCGTTTGGGCTACGTTAGAATTTGGTAATCACACAGTAACTCGTGTAGGTGTGATTTATAGGCCCCCAGGACAAATTGAAGAGTTAGATAATCTACTAGTTGAGGAAATAGCTAAAATGACAATGAAGGGGGAAGTTATCATCATGGGTGACTTTAATCTTCCTGATGTAAATTGGAAAACAAAATTAGCTACTTGTGCC